GGGCTGACACTGAGGGCGCTGAGTGTCCATAGAGGACAGAGAGGCGGACAGATGATGGGTGTCAGTGGGGCCTCCGTGTGAGGGACAGGGCCGGACTCCATGTCTGTGGGTGCATCCTGGCGGGCTGCTTCCTTGGCCTTGTGGGGCGGGAAGGAGGGAGGTGGGGTCGGTATTTCCCCTCATGGCGGTTCACGCAGAAGCCCGCAGCTTCGGGAATGCGGTGGCTTTGAGCAATGCTGGTCGTTCTCTGAAGTTCGTATGTCATGAGACGGGTCGGGTGGAAGACAGAGGCCTCCTCCCCTTCCTGTGGCGACTGCGCAAGCAGGTCCTTGCCTGGCCTTTCCTCAGAGCAGGGGCCGAGAGGATGTGAGGAAGCCTGAGGGAAGGGGGATGGTGCCTGTTCAGCAGGCTAGATGGAATTACTTCAGCTAATTTGTTTTCTAAACTGCTGTGTGAGCAGCGAGGGAGGAATTGGTGGGGAGCCCAGAATATAATCCTTATCGGGCTGCTGGCCTGGCCACTGTCCTGGGCCTTCTAGTGCTGTGGCTGCTAGCACTCGGCTCTCTGGGCGTTCTGGGACTTAATTAGTTCTTGGACAGTTTAGAGTAGGTGCTTTAGAATATCAGCACAGTGTTTGTTGTAAATGAACACATTTTTCTGCAAGTGTGTGATCGTCTGTGCAGTTAACTCTTCCTTTGCCTGCTGCCGTGTCAGCCTGCCTGTGTGACTGTCATGACGTGCAAGGACTCTGTCCCGGGCACAGACCCCACTGCTAGGAGAGTGGGACTGGGAAACAGCTCGACATCCCTCCCAAAGGACTCCTCAGGGCAGGAGGGGGGGTGAGCAAAGAGCAGGGAGACTCTGAGGTAAAAGGAACTTATTGAGGTTTAGGTATCTGATGGGCTTCATTTTCCTTTGCAAGGTTTCAGGAGCTCACCAGAGTTCAGGGTGTGCACGGGTGTGCGTGCATGTATGCGCGTGCAGCTAGGGGCTGAGAAGATGGTATTTTTGAACCCTTGCGTAGGTCACTCAGTAATGAGTCACAAGTAGGGGCTGAGCACCTGCTGTTTGTGTACCAGGTGGCTCCTGGCTACGTGATGTCAGGGAACAAAGGTGTGTGTGGTGAAGCTGCTCAGAGTTCTGTAGGCCGGGCAGAAAGTGACATTGACA